AGCCAAAAGGAATTTTTATACTTTAGAACTGGCCCTATAACTCATTGGTTTGCTTTAATTTTTTAATTTTTCAAAAACCCTTTTAAAAAAATTTCATTAAAGACCAATTTTTTAAGATTTTCACAAATTATCTATAAAAATAAATTTACCCCAAATTTTAAAATTTTAAGCATAATGTTAAAATTTTAGGCAATTCCCTAAAAAACTAAGAAATTGGGAATTTTCAAGTCTTTTACGTTGGTTTGGGGGGTTTTTTATTTTATAAAATTTAAGAAAAAGAAATAAATAAAATCAAAAATATTTTTTATTTTTTGTGATTTTAAAAAATAAATTTAAAAATTTCAAAAAAATTTAAATTTTTGCGTTTTTAAAAGAAGGCAAGTACCTTTTTTTATTAAACTACACTAAATTTTTCACGTACGGGACTAAACGGAAATAAAACTTTGGGGCAAAGGGGGAATGATTTGTTTTGGGGGAGTTTGTTCAAAAAATTTAAAATGACTTTATCTAGAAAGGAATTTTTAACCCCTTTAAAATCCCCCCATTTTGGTTTTGAATTTCATTTTTCCCAATTTCTGAAAAACACCCTTTTGGGGGGAAAGGGGAAATTTAAAAAAGAATTTTTAAGAACTTTTTTATTTAGGGTCAGTAAATTTTTTAAAACTTCAAAACCCGGGTTAAATTTTTTCTTCTTCATTATAAAACTTGTAAAATTAAAAGTCATTCGGTTAGTGATAAACCGGTGTGGGAAAAAGTTACAGACACCTACTAAACATTTTCTTTTCGTCTGCCTTTTTTGTTATTTTGGGAAAAATAAACAAACCCTTCGATAAAATGGGTTTTTAAAAAAAGGTCCCAAAAAAAATTTTTAAATTTAAAATTTTACTTTATTTTTTTTTAAAAATTTAAAAGTCCGTTTTCGAAAATTTTAAAAAATTGAAATAAAAGTTTAAGGGTTTAGAAAAGAAAAATGGGAAAAAGAAAAAATATAAAGGGGTTTAATGCAAAAAATTGTGGGTCCTGGTTCATTTTGGAAATTAAAACCGGGGAATTTTTTAAAAATTTTTAATTTTAAATTTAACAAAAATTTACCCAAAATAAAAAGCCCAATCAAATAAAAAATTTTAAAAAATGTAAAATTTGGAGATCTTTTCACATATGGAAAAAAATGCCAAATGACCGGTTTAAAAATTTGCTGGGCGTTAAAAACTTTGTTCCCTCCGATATTCTGATTTTAAAAAAAATACCCCAATATCAAAAAATCGTACAAAATTTAAAATGAAGTGATACAAAAAATAAAAAAGTTTCCTTTAAAATATTAAGAAGGGGCAAAAATTATTTAAAGGGGAAAAAAGCCTTTTATCTTTTTTAACCCAAATTTTTATTCTTTTTTGGAAAACCACAAAACTTTTTAAATTTTGATAAAAAACAAAAAAAAAAATAAAAGATGGCCCCATTTAAAGTTGATTTTTCAAAAGAGTTATCAAAGGAATCGGGTTTCATTTCAAAACATTCATAAATTGGTTTTGGCCCAAACGGGTTTTTGCCAAAAATTAGTTTGGTTTCTTTAAGGAAACCCCCAAATTTTTTCTAGCCCCTTTTTTTCGAAACAGAACTTTAATTTGGAATTTTTTCGACAAAAAGTTTAAAAATTTATTTTAAAAATTTTTAAAATCTAAGGGCTTTTTTTCAAACTTATAAAAGGGGGAAGGCAATAAAAAAAAAATTTTTTAATTTTTATAAAAAACTATATGAAATTTTTAAATTTATTATAAAAAGAAATTTTTGATAAAAAAAATTTCTCCCCTTTCCGAATTTTTTTGGTAAATTTTTATAAATTAAAAAAAAAATTTTTAATAAAATTTGGAAATGTTGGGCCAAAAGGTACAAAGGATCATTTGGCCCCTGGGGGAAAAGGGAAAACCTTTAAATACAAAAAAGAAAATTCCAAATATTTTTTAATTTCTACAATACCCGGGGTTTTTTGCAATAAAAAAAAACTGGGAAAAGTTAAAAAGGTTTAAAACAAAGAACCGGGCAATAAAACTTTCACATATATTTAAAAATTTAACATTATGCACACAAAGGGAGTGTTTTAATGGTATACCATGATAAAAGTTACTATATAAAATTTAATGTTGTGAGTTTTAATACAGATAACAATCTCTACTTGTCGAGCTAGGAGATTATTTTTCTGAATATTACTTATATTATAATATAATCTGAAATCACTATAGTGTTATTTGAACAGCATTTCGTTTCATTTTTTTTTGTAATCAGACTCTATGCGGTCAAGTTCATCTATTTCAAAAGATTGACAATTATAGTGGCGATTGACCAACAGTTAATTAAATATAAAAAGACTCTCCAGCTTTTTTTTATAATCATGCAGTATCATGATGTATTTGTCAGAAATGTTCTCGGGTCACATGAGCTATTACCGTTCTCGCAAAGTAATTAATAGAATGAAAAATAATTATAATGGCAAAATGTTTTAAATTTTAAAGTGACTCCCAAATTTTTTCCCCTTGCCCTTTTATCTAGGGTGGTAACATGTAAATTTAACGCGGGATATCGGAAAAAGGAAGAGATAGAGACCCCCCCTTTTTTAAATAAAATTTCTTTATATTTTGGGAAAAGGTCTTTTGTTTTTCAAAGCCGAGTACCCTTTAAAACGGTTTTGCATACCCCCAAAACTAAAAGAATTTTTTTTCGGCGTTTGTTGGGAAAAATTGGCAAATTTCTAAAAATTCCTTTCCCTTTGAAAACGCTTTAACAAATAGCAATAATACAAAATCATTAACCTTATACTTTTTAAAAGAACAATTAATAAAAATTTAGGGCTGGACAAAAATAAGGGAATTAAATTTCCAAAATTTACAATTACTTTTTGCCTTAAACTTTTAAAAATGAAAATGCACAGTTACCTAAGTATTTACTTTCATATAAAACTATCTTTACTTAATGAAACTTATGTTAAAGGTCCACGATAATGTTGCAAATAATTTTGGCCAAACCCTTTTGTATATTGTGTAATTATACTGATGTATATGCAATAAAATGGTATCAAACTTAACTTTTAAGAGGATGAATTGTATCTTATTATTAAATAATAATAATAATAATAACAATGGGAATTAAATCAAGTATTACCTTCATCAAAACGCAACCCTCCTTTATAGCTGAAGAATCTTGACATATATACAGTTGCTGTTTCCAAAGCACCATCATCAAGTTGTTATCTTGTAAGTAAAATGCTACGACAGATGGACGGAAAGACGCCAAGGGTATAACATAATTAATATAAGCATATTTTTAGGGCATATAATTAAAGTACTCAATATAAGTGATCATCCTATGAAGTTTGACAGTTGCAAAACTGTTAACAATATTAAGGTCATTTGATATTGACCTTTGACCTTGTGGTCCCAATATATATATGTAAATGGATCTTTTATTCAAATAAGGCAATCATCCTATGATGTTTGAACACTGTAAGCCAAATTGAAATTGTGTTATGCTCCAGAAAGCACAGGTTTAAGTGTTAAGGTCATTGTGACCCTGACCTTTGATCGTATGACCCTAAAATCAAAAGGGGTTATGTATTTGACATAGCTGTTCGTCCCATTTAATTTTACAGCTGTAGGTTGATTAATACTTAAGTTATTGAGCGAAAACAGTTTTCAGTTTTAAGGTAATAGTGACCTTGACCTTTGATCTTGTTACCAAAAAATTACTAGGGGTCTTCGACTTAATATTGACAATCATCTTATGAAGTTTGAACACTGTGGGCCAGACTAAAATTATGATCTAGAAACCACGATTTTCAGTGTAAAGATCACCCTGGCCTTTGACCGTTTTCAGTTTTAAGGTAATAACGACCTTGACCTTTGACCTTGTGACATCAAAATCAATATGGGCTTATTATCCAATATGAACAATCATCAGTATGAAGTTTGACTATTGTGGGCCAAATGGAACTTAAGTTATGCTCCGGAAACTGTTGTCAGTTTTAAGGTTATAGTGACCTTGACCTTTCCCCCAAAAAAAATCAATAGGGGTTTTCTTACCCAAAAGGGACAATCATCCTATGAAGTTTGAATATTTTGGGCCAAATGGAACATAAGTTATGCTCTGGAACCGAATTGCTAACGGACGGACAGACAGAGGGACCAACGGACGCCAGGGGGTATAACATAATAGGCCCGAAATTGTTTCGGGCATGTTATAATTTATATATATATAATTAAAAAGATTTAAAGTTTAAAAGTCAACCAGTCTTAAATTATCATAGGATTATTGCCTTTTGAATAAATAAAACCCAACATTATCAGATTTATAATCTCGATACATAAACATTAAGCAAGTTATTTTTTACTATTACACTAATAAAATATGAAAGAAATATAACAATAAATTGCTTAGTAGTTCGAAAATTTAAACCTCTGTCAATCACCGTTTCATAAAATAATTTCATAGAAATATTGGTATTTCGTAACTCGAACGAGACTTTTAAGTACACTATTCGATACGGTATCTACACGCATCTTATGTGTTATCTGTACACAGAAAGGAGTGCTTACAGATAGTATCCAAACAATTATACCTATCAATCTCGTAGTTCATACGGTGTAATACTGCTCTGCCAAGTGACCCCATGTGTATTTATATATCTTTTACATGCAACGTTAAATAAGTCAAAGTCAGTACAATTATGATTAGTTTTTAAAATACACCCGCCAATCAAAATCAATTAAAGAATGTACATTGTCAATTTTGTACTTTCGGTTTCTAAAATATAAAAGTTAGTATAAAATAATGCATTTTTTAAATTGTATATCGATAAATTTACTTATTTAAGTGGACTTGTACACTCAACAAACCTCACCATTTACATACTATTTTTTTAGCGTAGTTCAAGTACCATATTAGACGATTGACGGAAAGGGCCGGAAATTTACGAATTGTTAATAATTATTACGCATGAATGAAGGGAATTCTATGAAAGTTTTATCATTAAAACATATGAACCTATATATATACGCAATAATTCAGTGAATGCTCACTTTAAAATTGTATCTATTTTACAGTACAATGGGCGAACAGGGGACTATGGAGACGAGCAATGTATACCGTGTAGTCCGTGTCCTGATGGAACTTTCTCGGAGAACGGACGAGGGGAGTGTTCTCATTGTCGCACAAATTGTACAGAGATGAACAGAGAGTATGATTCAACGTGTTCCAAAACACAGGATTCCAAATGCGGGAGCTGCTTGACAAAGTACTTTCTTTTCATTAGAGTTAAAAGATAAAAACGCGTGTTTCATTATACATTACATGTGCACACTTATGATGCTTTTGCTTCATGCATTGTGTAGCAAGAATTTCTTATTTATACTAAAGATTTAGTTTTATTGTCGTTTTGCTTTTTTTATTTTTGATATTTACTCTGGTATATTTTATGGATTACATCTGTGGATGTTTCTAAATTCAAAATTCCATCATTACCTATTAAAGATGTTAAATTCCGGTGTTAGGGGGCGTGGACGGTGACTTTCACTTTCCATTACCGTCCATGAACAGGCTCAATAAAACCGGGTCTGCAAACATTTTCAATTTAGTCGTTGTGTGTGTTCTTTAGGGATTCTTTATTTTTCTCTGTTTTACCTGGTGGAACCCCTAGAGAAAGAAACCTGAAGTACCAGACCAATGTCCCCTATCTTTCCTTTAATTCTTTTTTTTTGTGCATGCGCGTTCTAAAATCATTGTCCATATTCTTTTTCAGTTATGAAGATATTTACGGGCATTTTCTTTTCCCATGTAGCCCGAAAAAAGAACACAAGGAACTTATTCCGCCGAAGGGAGAGAAGCCTATCCGCCCGGATGGAGAGACAGAAACTGCTGGAGATACTCCTAAAGATTCAAAAGGTATATCTCTTCTCTTTTTAATGCCGAGCCGTCTTTGGATGTAAATCTAGTATTATAATAAAAAAAAATGAATGCCATGATTTTAAAGTTAATGGTTATCTGATTATCCTATTCGTAGACTTTGCCTTCTTAAATATTAATACATTCTGTGATTCTTGTTGTATAATTATCACCATTAATAAGTGACGTATTTACCGCCTCCGTGGTCGAAAAGTTAGAGTCGATGAATTCTAATCCAATTACCTCTCTGGCGTGGGTTCGATGGTGGTTTAGCACGGAGGAAAGTAGTCTAGTACTGGTTTAACTCTCCAGGAACGATGGTTAGGAAACTACCCGCCTATATGAATGAAATACTGTTGGGAAAAGGCGTAAAATGAAACAAACAATCAAACAAACAAGTGACGTATTTAGTTTAAACATATCTCATTTGTACATTTTTTATTTAAATATGATAAAGTACATAAAATAATTATACGGATCAGTGCCGTAATTGGCACATGTACAAAGACTGTTTAGACACTTTGCTTTGTTTTAATATCTATATCGTGCCATTCTAATTCAATCGCCTTTTTTTCCAGTGACCAAAAGTCCCAGTTTTTGGATACCTGTTGGCATTACTGGAATAGTTGTATCATTTATTGTGGTTGTAATTTTCGTAGGAAGAAAACTGAAATTAGCGACGCATAAAAGCGATTCTTCCGCCGAAGGTAACACATCATATTATTTTCGATAATTTCCTTAGAACAATTCTAGAGAGCCATGGAAAAAAGGAAACATGCTGATATATATGATAAATAAAAGTAAAATATCTGATGAATTGAGAAATCTTAATTGTGTTACATACATAACATAACTGAAATTTGTTCTTCATCCATCTTTCAAGCCGAAACACCAGAAAATTTCTCAACTGCATTTTGCATACATACTTACAAATTAAATATTTCATATATATGTTTATCTATGACTCTAACTTACTTTCATTACTTTGTTTTGTTAATTTTCATTAATCATAGTCAGCCGCCACAAGGCAACACTTCTTTAGAGTCCTGATAATGAATTAATTTACATTCATAGGTGCACATGACTACACAGAGATAAATATTCTCCATGAGGGAACCATTCCAAAAGATGACACGGCCCTTCTTGATGGCGACATAGACATTGACGCTGTCAGGGAAGATACAGTTCCAAACGTTTCTACCCATATACCAAGGAGAAATGAAAATGTCCGTACAGAATTAGAAAATGGACAGCAGCCGTGTGCGAGACCAGAGTTGACTCAGCATATACCTTCATTGTCACAACTGGACGGGATAAGTAAGAGCTCATTTTATCTTCGGTCTTTTGTTCTTTCATTCTTTCTCTTATTTAGGGTAAACGAATATAAATAAATGCAAAACTCGTAAGTTAAAGAGATGGAAACAACCGCAGGCAGCACATAAAAAGTAGTTCCATAGCATCTCAGTTAAAATTTAGAAAGTACTTAATCACGCACTGATTATTAAAAAAGAAATCATACAAACAACATATAAACAACAATCATATTTTACACACGTATGTCTTGATGCAGTAGCTTTCTTTATCAGTAATTTGTATGTAGAAACAAATACTAGATGATTCTGTTGTAATATACTTGTATTTTTACTATTTTTGTGTTATTCGCAATGACACTGTTGGCATTATGCCAATTATATTATTGTTGAATTAGACAAGGAATATAATTAATAATGAAAAGCTTATTAAAGAAGTATCTTATACACAAAAAGAGAAATGTTCTGCTTTTCTATTAGACTATTGTTATATTTTTTTTATCATCAGGTGTGCTTCAACTCTCCGATGGCAGAATTGTGTCATTACAAATAGTCAAAGACTTCTGCGAATGTAAGGAACAACGATCATGTGAATGCAGTTCATTCTATTTTCCAAATTTACAATTGGAGAAATCAGATGAATATATACTAATAACAGCCTCTGAAATTTGCCATGAGTATAGTGAACTTTTCCAAAAGCTTGGTCTTACGCCTCCAGTCTTGTATCAGGAGAGCGATACAAGAGATCGAGATCCTGAAAAAATAACACAGAAAGAATTATTCACAAGACTTTTGAATATATGGATTGAAATGAAGTTCGAGGAAGCGACTCTAAAAAACTTATCAATAGCGCTTTGTGAAGCAAAGTTTCACAAAATTAATAAATTACTTATAGATTTATATAGAAATAAGATACAATCTATTAGAAACACGCCTTCTCATTAATTATTGATCTTTATTAGACTAAGTATTAATTATTAATATTTATACATTATTATAAACGATTAAAACTTATTTTGTTTTGTTTGAGATACTTGCTTATTGTTAAAGACATAATTAAACTGAATATTAATTATGTTTATGTTGTTTCGTTAACATTTTCATGTTATTGAATATTATTTTTAATGAAAATAATGTTGCGTTATATTTTTAAATCATTAAATATTTGTACTTGTATTTGATGAAAATAAACTGAAAAATTGAAAAGTTGTTGATTTACCTTCAAATTTAATACGTTGCTTTGTATACAATATTGTACTCCGCTATGAACTAAATCGTGCAATGAACTCGATTCGCATGATTTGTTTGTTTGTCTTGGGTTTTACGTCACACCGATACAGTATAGGTCATTTGGCGACGTTCCAGCTTTACTGGTGGAGGAAGACTTCGGGTGCCCTTCCGTGCATTATTACAGGCACGAACGGGCACCTGAGTAGAACCACCGACGTACTGTAAGCTAGCTGGATAGTCGAGTCGAATGACCCGAAAGTTAAACATATATAAAGCTACACGTCTGCAATAAGTATTGTAAAAACCCACACTTCCAAATTGACTGTAATAAAGAAATATTTTAGTATTATTTTCTGAAAAGAAATGGTGACTGCACAACATCATTGTTAAACGATGGAAATAGTAGTTTTCGTACATTGTCCATGCCTGTTAAAAACAGTACAACGTTTTTGTGAATCAGCCATACAATTATAAAAAACTCGACCGGTAGATTATGGAAACTGTATTTTGTTACTGTTAATAAATTTTAAAAAATCATAGATAAATCTAGCACCACTCGATTTCGCATGTTTAACCCTTGAACTTAAGTTATCGTACAGTGTTATAACATATCCGAGGTTTGTCAACGTTTAATTAATTCATATTATGAAACTAGAAGATTCGCAACAAAAATTTATCACAAAACCAGGGTTTCCGCTAACATATACCCAAAATTAAAAAGGTGAACATTTTGGTAGAAAACAGTCAATCTATGAATATGCGCCGAGGACATGATAACAATTAATATGTGAACGTTTGATTTAAATTTAGGAGGGATGGGCATGTACTCGTACAGCAGAAGAAATTACGCCAAGCAAACATGCCTCCACGCTGACGATCCCCGCACGAATTTCTTTCGGAAACCCTGACTTTATATTACATTTTTGAGTACTTTCTGTTTAGTCGCTTTTTTCTCCGGAGAAACTTATTTTTCACAGAGTTTTTTTAACCAGCCCATTGACATTTTGTATAGAGAGCTCAATATCTTTGTCACGAAATAATGAGTAATGTCATATTGAATATCTTACCGAACAATGGAGATACCAGTAATAATGCTAACGATTGCTTTCAATATAATACAATGTATTGGGGATTGGCTTTTTACTTATATTTGATCTGATTGAGCCGTGAAGGTGCGTCAACTGCTTCAGCTAAGTGTTTGATTAGCACTTTGAATAGTGTTAATAATCTTTAAACTGTATTTAAAATTTGTTTACATTACCTGCTTTAGCTGACATGTTTAAACAAATCAAATAAATATTGTATCTTTAGATTAAGGCTATTAGATAGTTTAAACTAGGAACGGTTTTGTTAACATAACGTTAAAACCATGGTTTATGTTCGGTGTCCTACTGGGTGTCTGTTCGGTGTCTCCCGCCCCTGTTTGACTTGATATTATCGAGGCCTACGTTCCGGTTCCGTAAATGTCGTATCTGTTCGTTGATCTTTATATTCAGTATGGTGTATGTGTGCAACTAATAATGGATTTTAATGATTTGAGTACTTCCAATTGCATCACATATATGATAATAATAGTTTTAGTTCAATAGGTAAGTATCCTTATTAGGATAGGTTTTAAAAGTTTAACCATACAAAGTATGATTTATTTAATTTCATTGATTGATTGCTGAAAAAATGACTTTATGTACATTATACAACCATATTTGTTAAACAAAAGGATTACAATTGTCTTGTTGGACACAATATATCCCCAAAGCACACCTAAAACGGCAAAATGGAAAATGTTGCAAGCTTGGTTTAACAGAACAAGCAATCAATCATGTGGCCATAACATGATTTCTTCATATACCAGTAAATTATTTCATGTACTTCGACCTTTCAAATCTCAACCCCCGGGAATGGACGGAAGATAGTGGTGGAATGGAAATTTTACATTCTAACCATCCCCGAAATGATCGATGAATGTTCAGCTGAAAAATACCTAGCCAAATATTTTTTTCTATTTCTCAATGCTAAGGCTTTATTTAAAACGCATCAAGCTATATCTAATATAAAGAATTGTAAAGTCTAAAAGGTAAAATTATGTTGCTTACTAGATAAAGTAATAGCCAATTCTCGATAGAGTTGTAAAGGAGAAAAAAATAGTATAGTCTTTTTCTTGTTTTTATTTTTTGTTATTGTTTAGTTTATTCTTTTTATTCTTTATCTATTTATTTATTAATTGTTTTTCAAATTTTAATCATTTCCGCAAATAGACGCACATAAATCACTTCCTTTTCATAATGTGATAAGCCACAGGCAGCAGATAAACATGTATAGTTTTATACCCTTTAAGGCTTGGCTTTTACGATGCGTTTTCAAAAGTCGGAGTCCCTCCTGCGGGCTTGGATGTAGCTACAACTGACGAGCCATCGAACGCAGGGCTTGGCTTTACATTTACGATGCGTTTTGAAAAGTCGTAGTCCCTCCTGTGGGCTTGGGCGTAGGTACAACTGACCGAGCCATTAGGTATTATAATTATTTCTGAGAATGCTTGGGGGAAACAGATATAGAAAATTCATATTTACATAAAAAATAAGGTAAACCTTATCAAATAAATCGGTTAATCGGTTAGAAGAGTGACATAATGATGTCTTAAGAAATCTGATATGGGCGTTAATCATACTTTAAAAGACAACTTGAATGAACGCGCAATTATATTGTTAAACACAAAGCGTATATCCGTGTTTTAAGCAATTCGGTTCGGTCATTAACTGTGTCTCCTGAAATGCGGTAGTCATAATGCATACATATAAAATGTTTAATAAAATGTATATAAAAAAAAACACATCACGTCATTAATGCCTGAATATGATTAATGGATTTACTTAGAAGTTGAAGTAGGATTTATCATGATATAATGTTTACATACTTTGTCGAGCAATGTTAAAATAATAGTAATAATTATAATAATAAGATATAAAATGCACTAGCCAGTTCGATATTGTGATATTTACAATATTTAAAGATTTGTGATGCTCAAATTCGATATCTTTAAATACTGATAATTGCTATAGAGTAGAATTAACTTCTATTAAAGAGACACAGAGAAACTGTGTTCATTAACCTAGCATTTTTGTTGGGTTTTACGTCACAGGAACTCGGTATAAGTATTATTGCGACTTTCCAACTTCATAAGTGTATGAAGACCTCACGTACTCTTCCGGCCATTATTTCAGGCACGAACTGCCACCTCAGTGGAACTACCGATTTTCCGTAAGCTAGCTGGAAACCTTTCTCACATGAAAATATCCAACGTCCCTGTCGAGATTCGAATACAGAACGGTGAGGGGCAAGTGGTTTGATGTCAACGTCTTAACCACTCGGCAACGGACGACCCCATATAACCTATTTAGATTATGACACAAGATGCGACTCAAACAGCAGTAGCAATTTCTCGGCCCTTTCATAGGGTCTAGGAATAATAGGCGAGGTGTTCCGAATGTGTGAATAGTCTTGACTAATCTATATTATGAAATGTACAATAACATTATTTACAAAGTCATAGTACACACAATGGCTTTATGGCATTTTTATCTATTACAAGATTTCCAACAAATATCAAGTTAACAAACATAATGATAATTCAATAATGGATTTCACAGGAAATACCTGAATTTCATTAACATTCGTGTTAAAGATTAATTTCTATCGCATTCTTTTGTACGACAATCATGTTTAAAACCATTTAATTTGATTTCGTTTAAGCCCTTTTGTTTTTAATATAAACCCATTTTCCCCTAATATGATGGCACGGTACAAAAATAATACATATGAGCCGCGTCACGACAAAACCAGCATAATGGGTTTGCGACCAGCATGGATCCAGACCACCCTGCGCATCCGCGCAGTCTGACCAGGATTCATGCTGTTCGCTTACCAACTCTATTACAAGTAGAGAAACTGATAGCGAACAGCATGGATCCTGATCAGACTGCGCGAATGCGCAGGCTGGTCTGGAACCATGCTGGTCGCAAACGCACTATGTTGGTTTCGTCATGACGAGGCTCAATTATTAAATTCAAATGTCAAAATGAATTATTATACACAAATCATGGATTTGAGTGTAAAGCTTTAATTTTACATTAAAACGCTCCTATTGAACTGATGTTATCATCAGAATTAAATGATGTCTGCTCGTAACGTGCAATTAAAATATGAATATTTTTCTTTTATGTTTTACAGGCAACACCCGGTATCTAACAATTGGTTAAAACGCACTTATACATCATTTAACATTACGGGAATTCCCCAGATCATTTACTGAATGCCTGCACATCTTAGCACGCACTTATCTAACCGTCTTATGTTCAAAAGTATTCATTAAATTTGCACTTTCACAAGGAAGATATTTTTTTATATCTTAAAAAAGTAGTTCCTACAAGGAAGCATTTACGTGTGATAATGTTGGTTATCATTAACAACTGCTAATGTATATACATAATTTAAAAGAGGAAAAATAAGTTAATGTATCAATATATAAATCTTCAATAAAACTTTCGAGTGTTTGTCTGAACTATTAAACATCTTTTGAGTCAAACATTTTATTTCTTATCCTTTAGTTCGATTTAATCGTCGTGGACAATGCATGGAAAGATATACAGTTTAAGCCAACAATTAAAATTGGGTTGTGACTGTCATCAATGGCCTGCATTATCAGTGAACAAAACACCTTTATTAAATATCGAGTGATTATGTGGTAACGTTACCACGAAGGTCATTTTATAAAAAAAAACAGGCTTTACATTTCAAGTTAACCACGCTGATTTAATGCATAAGCTTATAAAAAATAAAGATAACCTGTTACCTAACCGCAACGTGAAAGAAGTTAGATTTATAGCAAAGCATCTTTGACTTACAATGACATTATCTGACCAGAAGGTCATCTAAATATAATGCTGACTT